TACAAACATACTCAAATATACTCAATAAAGAAAAATCAAAATGCTTGAACTTTATTTAAACCAAAAATAGTAAAATAAAAACTAAAAAGATACGAAACAAATGTAAAAGGATTTAAGGCTCGTAGCACAGTTCAAAGGAACAAGATACGTGACAATAATAGAAAATAAAAATAAAAACATTTTAATATATACACAAATGCTCTAATTTGTTATAGTATCAACACAAAGTAAAGTGGCAAATTAAATATATTTAATATTATGAAAAAAATAAGAAATACGCATCAACTGAAACATACGTAATACTATGCTCACCTTAAGGTTAGATGGTGGAGATAAATTGAATGAAAAACGTAGTGATAAATTGTTGTGTAAAAATTTTAGAACGAAAGTCTTAAAATATATAGAGCAAAATTTTGACCGTTAGAAATTCAAATTTCAAAATGGCAACGGTCATATTCAACGGCTATACCAATTAATACTAATTTCAAAAATTGGAAAACAAAATCTTCTCATTATTGTTTCTTTCAAAGTAACAAAAGTTGAAAAACACAATTATTACACGATAAGAAAGAGAAGGAAAATGTTCAAGTTTTGAAAATGAATGTCTAGAGGCTTTGAAAAGCTTTCAAATATGTTTTATTGTCTTCTTAGAAACCAAATACAAAAGGAATTTTATTATTAGACAACAATATTAATTTCGAAATCTAATTTTCAAGTCTAAGTAGAACACTACATTTGCAATGAGCAAATGTGCACGTGTATTGAACGTGATCAGTATTTACAAAGTAATTGTCTTATATAATTAAATAATTTGAGTAGAACAAATTAATTGTATTTGATATTATAAAAAAGAACAAGAAATACATATCAACCGAGATATACATAATACAATGCTCACCTTAAGGTTAGATGGTGGAGATAAGTCTAAACGGAAAATATAATGCTAAATTGTTCTGTATAAAAATGTTAGAAGAAAAGTCTTAGAATATATAGAGACAAATTTTGACCGTTAGAAATTCAAATTTCAAAAGGACAACAGCCATATTCAATGGCTATACCAATTAATACTAATTTCAAATAATGAAAAGCGAAACTTCTCATTAATATTGCTTTCTAATTAACAAAAGTTGGGAAACACTATTATTACACAACAAGAAAGACAACGAAAATGTTTGAGTTCTAGAAATGAATATTCGGAAGCTTTGAAAAGCTTTCAAACTGCCTTTATATTTTTCTCAACAACCAAACACAAAAAGAATTCAATTATTATTACTATTTTTTGATGGGGGCATGAAACCCAAACCAAAAGAATTCAATTAGACAATAATATTAAAATTTTGAAATTTAATTTTTAAGTCTAAGTTGAACACTACATATGTAATTAACAAAGGTGCATGTGTATTGTGCGTGATCAATATTTAGTCTTAAAAATTTCCTTCAGCTAGTTTGTTAGAGTTTAAAAATGCTCATCCTAAAGTTAGATGATAGAGATAAATTTAAATGAAAAATATTTTTATTTTAAATTTCACTTGCCTTCTTAACAGTCAAGAATACAGTAACAGTTAATCTCAAGTTTTCCTTCAACAAAAATCTTAAACTTTCCAGCTTGCTCGCCACAGTCTTAACTTTTTAATACACACTTCAATAAAATATGGCCCTATTTCAATCTCACTTATGTCTCTCAACTCTTCATTCCTAAACATGATTGCACGTCCCCAGGTACGATCGTATTTATTTCTCTTCGCAACGCTAAACCCACAAAATAATACTAATAACAACAAATGCTCTCAGATTACAAAAATAACCAAGTAAAACTTGTGTTAGCATCAAGTAAAATAGGTAAGATATAAATACCAAAAAAAAAAACTTGGATTCTAGAAAGAAAAGAAACCTTTTATATCTCACAAACATATTCAAATATACTCATTAAAGACAAACCAAAATGCACGAGTTTTGTTTAAATCAAAAACACAAAAATTAAAACCAAAATGATAACAAACAAATATAAAAGAGAGATTTAGGGGTCAAAGTACATTTGAGAGCAACAAGATGCGCGACAATAATAATAATAAAAAAAAAACTTTTAAGAGATTACAATTCGAGTTTGTGAAAAAAACAAAAAATAATAAAGAGTCTGAAATATACATCAACTAAGACATACGTAATACTATACTCACCTTAAGGTTAGATGGTGGAGATAAATCTAAATAGAAAATGAAATGATAAATTGTTTTGTATAAAAATTTTAGAACAAAAGTCACAAAATATATAGAGAAAAATTTTAACCGTTAGAAATTCAAATTTCAAAAGGGCAACAACTATATTCAATGGTTATACCAATTAATATTAATTTCAAAAAATGGAAAACGAAACTTCTCATTAATGTTTCTTTGTAATTAACAAAAGTTGGAAAATACTATTATTACACAACAAGAAATAAAAGGAAAATGTTCGAGTTCTTAAAATGAATGTTTGGAGATTTTGAAAAGATTTTAATTTCTTTTATGGTCTTCTCAGCAACCAAATACAAAGGGAATTCAATTATTAGACAACAATACTAAAATTTTGAAATTTAATTTCTAAATTTAAGTTGAACACTTCATATGAAATAAGCAAAGGTGCACGTGCACTGGACGTGATCAATATTTACTGAGTGAATGTGTTAAATAATTAGAATTTGAGCAGAACAATTTTTTCATTAATTTCTAAAAAGAAACTAAAAAAAAAAATTTGCCTCACCTAATTTGTTAGAGTTTAGAAATACTCACCTAAAAATTAGATGGTAGAAATAAATTTGAATGGAAAATATTTTTATTTTTAATTTCACGTGCCTTCTTCTTGACAATTAAAAAGACAGTTACAGTTGATCTCAAATTTTCTTTCAATACTCGCTTAACGTGAATAAAATTTGACCCTTTTTTAACTTCACTTATGTCTCTCAATTCTTCATTCCTAAATATGGTTGCACCGTCACCATGTACGACCATATCCATTTCTCTTCACAATATCGAACCAACATAATAATACTGATAACAACAAATATTTTCATATTATAGAAATAACAAGGCAAAACTGTTGTTAGCATCAAGTGAATTATGTAAGATATAAATACAAAAATAGAAATTGAATCCCAAAAAGAAATCTTTTATGTCTCACAAATATACTCAAATATATTTATTAAACAAATCAAAATGCACAAGCTGAGCATCTTAAAAAAAATGCACGAGCTTTGTTTAAACTAAAAATAAGAAAATAAAAAGCAAAGGATAACAAACAAATACAAATACAAATACAAATACAAAAAAAAAAAAATAGTGTTCAAAGAACATTTTAAAGGAACAAGATATGTGACAATAATAGAAAATAAAAATAAAAGCATATAGTAAGTACACGTATGCTAAGATTTGGTGTAATATTACAATTCGAATTTGAGTTACTTCTGCAATACAAAGTAAAGTGATAAATTAATTGCATTTGATATTATGAAGAAAAAAAAATCATATTAATTGAGATACACATAATACTACACACACCTTGAGGTTAGATGGTGAAAATAAATCTAAACAGAAAATGTAATGATAAATTATTTTGTACAAAAATTTCGGAATGAAAGCTGAGAATATATAGAGAAATTTTTTTATTGTTTAAAAGTCAAATTTTAAAAGGGTAACAGTCATATCCGACATCTAATACCAATTTGTTTTGATTCAGCAAAGAAAATCTTTATTGATGATGAAGCGATACATTACATATGGGTGTTCAACAATAAGGATGAGAAAGAAAAAAAGGAGTGAAAACGATAACCAAGCATAGTGCTGGTGAGAAACCAACACTAGCTCACAGGACCGCAAACATTCCTAGCAGCAAAGCAGATCAGCAACAGAACAGATCAGCAGCCAGAAAACCACAATCCAGAACATTGACAGCAGAAAAATAGCAGATTCACCTAAAATAAAATCTGACCAAGAGCAACACTCTATACTCAAGACCAATATAACAGTCCACTGCTGAGGGAACCTGTCCTCTGCTGAGCATAACATTATAACAAAAACATACCACCACCAACAACCAGCAAAAGGACACATAGTCACACAGCACCAAAGGCACACAATAGAGTTTTTTTTTTTGTTGTTGATCAGCAAAATAAACTTTTATTAATGAAAGAAAGAAGAAAGAAGGCCAACAAGGCTATACCAAACAGCAAGAAAAACAAAGTGCAACAAGCATCATAGCATTACAAGCCTATCCCAACAAAGTTGGCACCGGCTTGAACACCCAATCATATGCAAGCACTGCGAGATTGGTGAGAAGCCAACCAAGGAAACAAAAACCAACCCAAACAGAGCTAACACACACAGGAATTTCCTAAACTCCATCATATCGGATCAGATGCAGGTTAGACATGAAGTCCTGCATTGTGTATGGGCAGTCTGAAGTATGCGCTTTCACCCAGAAGCTAATTCTCAACTTAATCCATTCACAAATCTCACCTAGCAAAGGTTCCTTACCAGTGAACACAACTTCATTTCTGAACCTCCAAGTGGACTACAGAATTGCCAAGGGCATTGTTCTCCATATTTTGTTCTCCAGCTTTTTCCATTTAAATCCACTCCACCAATGAAGCAGACTCTCCACTGTAGCAAATACAATCCATTGCAGCCCCACCAATTTAAAAGATCAGACTAGATTCTCCAAACAAAGGGATACCATAGTATAATGTGAGGCACTGTTTCCACATGAGATCTGTAGAACACACAGCTGACGGAAACGTTATGACCCAAAACACCAATACGTTGAAAGAACTCCGAAGTCTTTAACTTTCCCTTCCATGCTAACCAACCAAGGAACTGAACTTTTGGAGGAGAGACATTGAACCACAATAGTTTAGGTACCCCCACAGAACCAGAACCAGAAGAAATTAGCAGAGTATAAAGAGATGAGGTGCTAAACTGACCAGATGGGCAAGGCAACCACTTCCACTGATCATCCTTATTAAAGGTTTAATCCTGAGACCGATTCAGCAAGAGGTACAATCTTTCCAAATCCTCAGCCTCCCAAGCAAATAAAGCTCTACGAAAAGTAAGATTCCAGCCATTGCAGCAAGCATTTCTCTCTATCAGCAGCTTCAGAGATAGGTCCTGTTCGTTTGACAAACTAAATAGTCTGGGGAATCCATGTTTTACACACTAATTTCCAAGCCACTAATCAAACCAGAAACTCACCCTGGCCCCATCCCCAACCACTATTTGAATGTTCTCCAGGAATGAATTCACAAGGTTTGGATTTGATTGAGAAATACGAAGGATACCCCCCCATACTACTGAGCAATTAGCGGTTGCATTAAAATCAAGCAACCATCTCCCACAAATTGGTCTATACCTACTGCAAATAACTCTCTTCCAGAGTGCATTGTCCTCAACTCCAAACCTCCACCACCATTTAGCCAACAAACAATCATTCACATTCTGAATTTTCCTAATCCCAAGTCCACCATGAGCTTTACTTCTGGACACCTCATCCCCTTTGACAAGGTAAATCTTCTTTTTCAAGTCAGATCCACCCCATAAAAAAAATGCTTACAGCCCTTCAACTACTTTAACCACTGAACTAGGCATCTTAAGAATAGAAAGATAATAAATGGGTAGACAAGACAAGACTGATTTAATGAGGGTTAACCTCTCTCCAAATGAAAGCAACTTTCTCTTCCAAGATGCCAGTTTGGCCTTAATCTTATCGACAACTGGACGCTAAGTTTTCTCAATCTTGGATTGACACCAAGAGGCAAGCCAAGATGAGGAAAGGGCAGGCGCTTACTTTTGCAATGAAGTCTATTAGCAAACTCCTCCACCAGCTGATCCGGTACACCAATGTCGCTCACAAGACTTTTGGAGAAATTAATCTTCAGACCAGAGACTGGCTGGAAGCACCTCAAGATTCTTTTAACTGTCAAAACTTCCTCCCAAACCGCCTCACAGAAAATTATAGTATCATTTGCGAATTGAAGATGTGATATGGTTGACAGTGAATCACCTTGGCCTATGACAGCCCCTTTGATAAGACCACATGACAGAGCCCTATGTAGTAGAACATTCAACCCTCCAGCAACAAGATTGAAAAGGAAAGGTGACAAAGGGTCACCTTGTCTGAGACCTTTTCCTATAACAACCCTCATTCTTGTCTTAGTCATGTTCATGAGCATTTACATGATTTTTCCTTGTTAAGCTTGCATTCTTAGACTTTAATTGGTTTGCCTATGTAAAGGTTCTTGTTTTGTTTTGATGCTATCATGTTTTGCCTAAGCATTATATGCCTACCTTGTTCCTTCCTTGTCATCTCAAGCCTAAGACCATATTGGAACCACTTTGGTTGACATTCATCTTCACCTTGGCATATTGGCCGAGATGTCATCATCTAGGCCGAAGTGTGCCTCACCTAGGCCGAGATGTGTATCTTCTAGGCCGAGATGTTACCATCTAAAGCATCCCAGATCTTTGATCCATGCACCTAGTGATCTTGTTTCTGGACTTGTATGACCTAGACCGAGGTGTGGCATATCTAGGCGGAGGTGTGGCACAGCTACGTCAAGTATTATCCTTCCTAGCCGAGATCATTGAAACCTTACTTACCGAAGCCTATGTCCTAATCCAAGATCATTGCCTTGTCAAAGTGCCCATGCCACCTTACTTGTTGTACACATTTTGTCATACTCTTGTCTTGTCGTTCTAGCACTTTTCGAGGAGATCCAACTAGACGTTGCCACGTGTCCTAGCAGAGGGTTAAGTCAGCTGGCAGTAGGGAAAACATATTATTTTGTCACATCTTTGTCTTGTAGAGAGAGAAGCTCTAGGAAGAAGGAGAAAGTGTTCTTAGAGAGAGAACTAGATTTCCAAGCTTGATCTTTAGAGTTTGAACCGATTGATCCGTGTTTTGAGGTTATATTCTTGATCTACTCTTGTTGTTCTTTATGTTTATTTGATCACGTTGCATGATCTAGCATGATTCATGAGCCATGCATTGATTTAAAGCTTGTTTTAGAAAGAGAAAGTGATGTTCATGTTGTTTGATCCGAACGTTTGTATCAAGTTCCACGTTTTTGTGTTTGTTTTCTTGAAATCTTCAAGTATGGGTACCCAGGTCCATGATTTCGAACTTATCTCATGAAATCTCAGATTTTGAATAAGAAGTTATGATTTTAGCATTCATGTTCTTCATGTTCTTCATGTTCATGTTCTTCGAGAGGAAACTCAAATTTCCAGACTTCATTTGCCTAAGTGTGGTCACTGAGACCCACTTTTGCCTAGATTTCACACCTAGGCCAAACATCGTATCTCACATTGGCCTACCTTGTATGATCACTTGCACCTTAGCCTATCTTGCATGCACACCTAGGCCGACCACCACACACCTAGGCCAACCACCACACACCTAGGCCGACCATGGTACACCATTGCCGACACCTTGTAACATCTCGGCAGGCAGTCGCACACCTAGGCCTATGAGACCACACCTCGGCCAAGAGGTGTGGGACCTCGGCCAAGACTCCCTAAGTTCACCCAGCTAGGCCATTTTGGCCTAGATCATCTTTGTGCATCCATTCCAAGACCTGGTTAGTACCCATCATGTTTTTCCTAAATGAAAAATCATGTTTTAACTCCCAGTACATGTTTTGCTTTGTATTGACTTGGCTTTGGAAAGAAATGCCGGGATCTATCTTACTCCTCTGAAGCTTGTTTTAAGAGTGCATTTCATACACATCTTTGAGCATCTGTTCTTGTCTTCTTGAAATGCATTCAGTGGACGTTGCCATATATTTGTAGATCATGGATCCTTGCCTTAATCTCTACATTCAAAGAGCTATTGTGAGCGGTATTTTTAATAAAGTTATGTCATAAGTTTTGATAAAAGCTTTGCTTTGTTTTGGAAAAGTATTTGATCAAGCATGAATGATTATCCCTTAGTTTTTGTATCAAGTATTATGTTTGTTTTGATGACATTCTTGGAAGGTCCTTCCGTGCTAGGGGACGTTAAGCCTATGTAGTACTTATGTTGAGATATCTCTTTGCCATCGACGGTCATGTACGGATGGGACCACTGACGGTCTTGTACGGGTGGGTTACGTTTTGCCACCGACGGTTTTCCGGGTGGGTCGTCTAACCGATTCTGGGTCGGCCACCGATGGTCGTGAACGGGTGTGCTTCGATTCCAGGACGATTATTCCTTTGTTTTGTCAGGAATGTCATCCTTTGTATTATGTAGATGTTAGTAAACATCCCAAGAAGCTTTGAAAGAGTTCGATTGATGAACTTGATTCATCCCATGTTTTGTTACAAGCTATGATATGTATTGTTTTGATAAAGATCTCGGATATCATTCATTCAAACCTTTATTACTAATATCATTCACTGAATATTCAAGCTCACCCTTTCCTTATATATATGTAGGTGACGAGCAAGAAGGCGGTGACGCCTAAGATGTTATGTGCAAGATATTTTGGATTCATGTTTTGCTAGCATCTTGAAGATTATGCTTCTTAGCTTGTGATTCATCTCTTTTGTATATGTCGGCTTGAGAAACTTTTTGATCAAAATGTAACACGTACTATATTGTATTTGTATTCAAGTTGTAAAACCATGTTAAGATGTATGTCATTTCATTTGATCTATGCACAGCTCTTATGGACTTCTTAGATTTAAATTTATTGCTTCCGCACATGTAAGCCCCTTATGTATACTCTAATTGTGTGTGACCTTGTAAGTTGGCCTGTGGTAATCTCAGATTACCGGCCATCATGGCACCATTCTACTAGGGGCGGAATGTGGTCGTGACAGATTGGTATCAGAGCACAAGTTCCTTATAGTACATTATTCACACACTTTTAGTCCCAAAGAGCATAGGATTTCCCTTAGAATGATGTTAGGATTGCATCATATTGCTTGCTATTTGACAAGATATGCATCATCTCGGCATGATCATTTGGTACTTGCATACATGTCTATTTGTTCATTTTGTTTAAGAGTCACATTTTGCATACCTCTAGCATCATGAGAAGGGGAAGGCCTCCAGTTAGACCAGATCATTCCGAGGACAGGTTGGACAGATTAGAAAGGTTAGTTGAAGGTTTGGCCCGTGAGTTGAGGCAAACAAGGCAACAGAACACTAGTACTACCTCTACTCAAGCTGAGCAAACAAACGGCCGAAATGCAGATCCACCTCCCCCTCCACCTCCTCCAGTACCACAAGCGCCCCCATAACCAGCTTTATATGGGGACAACACAATAACCTTGATTAAAGAATTCAAGAAAATGAATCCGCCAAGATTCCTTGGGGGTATAGAACCGTTGAAGGCAGAAACATGGGTTCTTGAGATGGAGAAGTTGTTTGAGATTTTTCCCAGCACCGACGCTCAGAAGATGTCATTGGTAGTGTTCACATTGGACGACAACGCTCGTAGGTGGTGGATAATGGTTTGAGAAGGTAATTCGGGCTTGACTATTTTATGACATGCATTTTCCTCTTAGTGTCCGAGATCGCAAGATCACAGAGTTCCAGACTTTGACACAGGATAACAGAACAGTGGCTGAATATGACCGTGCTTTCACCAAGTTGGTTAGATATGTACCTCACTTAGTCAATAATGAATACAATAAAGCCAGGAAGTTCGAGAGTGGACTCCGTGGGCCAATACATAACCGGGTCAATATGCTCAACATGCCGACTTACACCGGGGTATTAGATAAAGCCCTCATGGCAGAAGCTAACTTAAACCGACATCAGAATTCGGGGGAGAATCAGAAAAAGAGGTAGAGTTTTGACAATCGCCGAGCACAGTTCGATGCCAAGAAGAAAGTGAATGTGGGCAGTTCAAGCAACTCAAATCAGAGAAGTAGCACCAGGCCGACAAGTGCAAGTTGTGAGAAGCAGCATCTAGGAATTTGTCATCGGGCATCTGGAGCATGTTTTGAATGCGGTGAGATGGGTCATCGTGTCAAGGACTGTCCCAAGGCAAAGGTTGAAAATGGTAAGAGAAACGGGAGTACCTCGGGTTCTGTGCAGAAAGGCAATGTTAGGAAATGACAGATGAGGCAGGGTAGAGTCTTTGTATTAGTACTGGGAGACATTCAGAGTGCCGAGGCAGTAATGTCAGGTATACTTCCAATTTGTTCTCGAGATGCATATATGTTGATTGATTTGGGTTCCACACATTCATTTGTATCTGTTAAGTTTGCCGAGAAGTTAAATAGGGAACTAGAACCCCTCGGTTTTGTGTTATCTGTGTCTACTCCATCTGGGAGAACTATGACTACTGTATCCATTTATAAAGCATGTGCTGTTGTGATTGAGGACGTTGAATTATTAGTTGATTTGATGTCGTTGAACATGGCTCATTTTGATGTTATATTAGGAATGGATTGGTTAGCAGCAAATTATGCATCTATTAATTGTGTTTCTAAAAGTGTTACTTTCAGACCCCCGAACTAAGCCGAGGTTACATTCCAGGGTAAGAGAGTAATACCCCCACCTTACTTGATTTCATCCATGAAAGCTTATAAGCTGATCCAAAAAGGATGTCAAGGTTATTTGTGTAGTATACTAAGTAATCTGAATGGAAGCATCGAATTGCATGATATCCCAGTTGTTAATGAATTTCCCGACGTTTTCCCGAATGATTTGCCCGGCCATTTAGTGGATAGAGAGATAGAATTTACCGTTGATGTTATACCAGGAACATAGCCTATCTCCAAAACACCCTATAGAATGGCCCTCGCTGAGCTTAAGGAGCTGAAAGTACAATTACAAGAGTTGTTGGATAAGGGTTTTATTAGACTGAGCACTTTCCCTTGGGGAGCGCTAGTTTTATTTGTTAAGAAAAAGGATGGTGCACTTCGTCTTTGTATTGATTACCGAAAACTGAACAAGGTAACCATTAAGAATAAGTATCCATTGTCGAGGATTAATGATTTGTTTGATCAATTACAAGGAGCCCGAGTCTTTTCTAAAATTGATCTCAGGTCAGGCTACCATCAGCTCAAGGTTAAAGCCGAGGATGTTGAGAAGACTGCTTTTCGGACAAGGTGTGGCCACTACGAATTTTTGGTAATGCCTTTTGGAGTGACCAATGCTCCTGCAGCATTCATGGATTTGATGAACAGCGTCTTTAAGCCATAGCTAGATGAGTTTGTGGTTTTT